TGATCCCTTTTCTTTAAAATATTTTTGAACTATTATTTATAGATGTTTCGCTCTTAATTTATTACCTAGCAGATGAAAACTAATCTTTGTCTACCCTATTCCCAAACCTAAATCTTAAGAATATAATCTTACAAATACCTATCAAATTACCTATAAGAATGCTCACAGAAAGCACTCACCAAATTAATCAACAGTCAACTATTGAATATCTTGTTCATTAATAACGTTTTTAGAAGAAATAATTTTGCCAGCCTCTTTTGCAAAAACACTTTTGAACCAATCCATATTTTCAATAATATTTGATATAATATTTCATTCTATCACAATAACCTTTAGGTCTTATTCTAATACATGTTAAAGGCTTATAATTATATTAACATTACCATATTAATCAGAGCTCTCAATCATCTATATATCCTAGAAGCTTTTATTAAATTTTTAATTTTGATCTTCCTTTCTCGTTTTAACTAAGTTTTTATCACATATAATAATACTGACACCTATTTAGTTCTTTTAGAAATTGATCAAGAAGAGATTATTTCTCCCATCATATGATGCATATATTATGATTCCCTATTGTGTTTTATACAAAATTTACCTCATGACTATATAATTAGAGAGCTGATATCACTAAATAAGAAATACAAAGTTTTTCAAATCATATTTTTACCTTATTTATATAAACAATACACTCTGAATGACTGATTCTTAAACTGACTTCCAAAATATAATAACCATTGCAGATTTATTCTATACCCTAAATAGCATACAAGTCAACTGAAATAAATATGTACTGATGATCAATAATAAGAACTCTAATTCTATTAATTTTAAATTCAATAATAAAGACATCTGGCTTTCTCCACTCTTACATAAAGAATCTACAAGATATCTAGAAATATGGGTCTCCTTTTTCAACAAAAATCAATTCGTTATAAATTAAATTTGAAATAAATTCAAGAAAACCAAAATTGTACTCAACAAGAAAAACTGACAACTAAGCATATAGTTATAATATTCAATATAATAATAATCCCTTGTATAATGTATAAACTAAACTTACATTTATTTCTTGTTCTACTTGTGACATTTTGATGACATCCTTTAGAATTTTTTTCAAAAAGAAATTATATCTTTTAAGATTCATTTTAGCATCAGTGATATATTCAATATTTAAGTATAATCCCGTATACTTTTATGACAAATAAATATAAGCTAAATTATCTGATTTTTTAAAGATAATCAATGACATCTCAATTTTTGAGTCAACATCACACTTACACAATATGCAACTTCAAATTATTTGAATAGTTACCTCTATTCCTATTAACCAATTGGCCTTATGATAATACAAAACCCTTCAAAGAATAGTGGTCTTATTTTTTATCTACTGCAAAACATGATGATCTTCACTTTTAACAAAGTATTATATTTTTTCTTTTTCTTTTTGATTGATTCTTTTTTTTTATATTTTGATCAATTTTTACTTTTATTTTTTATTTATTTATTTTTTCTATCAATTTTTTCATTATTCTCCTCCTCTGTCTTTTTTTTTAATTTTATATTTATTATTTCATATACTAATTACAACTTAAGATAAATTGAAGGAGGCTTCACTCTTATTTCATATTTCCTTACCCCAAAATTTTACTGGCAAAATGTCTTACGATTATATTCACTATTAATTTTATACATTGATCAACTCTCAATAATGAATGGCCTCAATTTATTTACAACTTTTGACCTTAATATGATCTATGACTCAATATTTTATAGTTCTAAATGATTTAACTAACTGGAATCAAAATTTTTGATCAACGCATCCACTAAACAATTATTTAATAGATGTTCTTCTTACGCATCTCTAATCAAAGCACTGATACAACCAACTACATTTATAATGTTAACAACTAATCTAACTTTCATAATCATTTAGTCTAATCAATACATGACCTTCATCTTAAGAAAAATTACCAAAGAGAAAGATATAATCATTTATACACAATACTACCTACCAACTCAGTTAAAATATAACCAAATGCCTATTGCTCTTTATATTAGATATAATATTTTTGATCACTCTGCTCTTATCCCATATAAATAATATTAAAGAAATAGCTTTTGTGCTATCAAATTGCCTAAAATATATTATTCTGTATTTAAATTATTTTATAAATCTCATGAGGGATGGTGATGTAGCCTCTCATATTTTATGCTACAAGAATTAGCCCTATTAATATTAACCTTCCCTACCAATATCTAACTAAACCTTTGCCTAATTTATCAATTATTTCTTTTGACCAACCTTCAATCAATAGATTAGAATAACTTAAAGTATAATTTCTAACACTAATTTTCTTCAATTTTACACAAATGGTTCTCTTATTTCTTTAGGATCTTTTAATTACCAGATGGAAATTGCATGGTTACAAACTAATCAGAATTGGCCATCACTCTCCTTTAATATTATACTTATATTATACTTTTCCTCATCTACATTAGCAGAAATAGTTACTATTCTTGTTGCAGTATATACATCACTACCTAATGCTATCATTAAAATCTATACTAATTCATAAGCTGCAATTGCATCATATAACAAGATTACAACACTTTGTGAGGTATCTTTCTCTCAACCCTGTATTCAAAATTTCATACTTTTATATTTAGATAAATATATTACAACTCATAGTCACATATAATATTAAACTAATACTCACCAAAGTCAAAGCTTATAAAATGACCAATTCAACAATCAAGTCAACCTCTTAGCAAAACAAGTTACTAGTGCTTCTTTATACATCAATTTAACATTTATTATAAATTATTAATAAAATAATTATGTTTATTAAAATACAATTTAATTAATAATTTATTAATTTACGTAAATTTGTACAGTTTACTTAAGTTTATAATTAAAGTATTTTATAATTTTTATAAAATATAATAATATTACAATTGATGGTATTTTATAATATTAACATATTGTATAATTTACAAAAGTTTATAGTCAAAGTATTTTGTAAATTTATATTATATTATAATTATGATGTATTACTAAATGTGTTATTTATAAATTGTATAATTTATAAAAGTTTACGATTGAAAAAATTCGTAATTTTTGTATATTATAATTATGATATACTACTTAATAAAGTATTTTATAATATTTAAAACTGTATAATTTACGAAAGTTTATAGTTAAAGCATTTGTAAATTTTATATTATAATTACGATATATTATTGAATAAAGTACTCTATGATATTTACAAACTGTATACTACACACTGTAATATTTACAAATTGTATAATTTATAAAAGTTTATAATCAAAACATTTCATAATTTTTTTTATACATTATAATTGTAATATATTTTAAACAATATATATATATATACTTATGATTAAAGTATTCCACAATTTTATTTACATAATATAAAAGGTTACTACTAATAGGTAAAATTTTATATGTTGCTATACTGTCTTATACATGTCTTTCTACAGAATATATAAATCTCTGTGTTCCAATGCAATGGATGTGTAATAAGGGTCATAAATGGTTTTCAAGTTTTAATTGTATAAAGCACTCCAAGACATGGTGCCCATATTGCTTAAATAAACATGAAAATCTGTGTCGCGAAATCATAACTAACATTCTTGGCCCACCTTCCAGCATCCGCCGACCAGATTTCTTGAAAACATTTGAACACCCTCGAGGACTAGAACTCGACATCTACTATCCACAGTATGGATTTGCCATAGAAGTACAAGGTAAACAGCATGAGCAATATATAAAGTATTTTCACAAAAATGAGGGAGATTTTGAGAAGCAGTTGATGCGTGATCAACTCAAGAAAGAATTATGCAAAGAGAATTCGATTGTTTTAAGTTATGTTTGGTATTACGAGGATCCTTACACAGTAATTCCAAATCATCTTCGAGAGTTGGGTCTCATTGAATAAAGTCAAAACTTTAAATGCTTTTGCGATCCACTATTGGTTTTTTTCAACTATAATTTTATTCATCCGGAATTACACGAAAAATCGAATAGAAATTTTTCAGATACACACACCACATCATATACATGTTAAAAATAACGAGCCAACCAAACAAATTATTAAATCTACGTAGGTTTTCTTTACAAAGCAAAAATGATGTCTCTATACTAATACTAATGCATGTGGACCACACCAGTTTTCACTTTCCTAAACTATACTAACACAATTACCCAACATTAACTCGTCCCCATCTGGATAAAATAAAACCGGTCGTCAGTTACACTTATACGAGACATGCAGTGTCAGAAATAAATTAGATCGTAACTTTAGTAAAGTCCCTGTTGAGAATTTATATTACTTGCCTACTCTTGATGCTAATAATGCCTTGTGTATTTTTAACGGTCCCATCATACTTCTTATAGTCGAAGAGGCTTTAGAACATCTTTAGTACCATAAACCAGGTCCACACGGCTGATAATAAATCATTGATTAGTAAAATCAACCAATCACGTTAAAAATCACCATAAAAAAAATCATATAATTCGTAATTTTTATACAATAATACATATCATTTTTCATGCGATCGCATTATTAAGTACGAGTTAAATACCCTAGATGATTCCTTTGATTGTTATGAAGATTTCTTTCCAGATTCTCACTCTTAAGATTACTAACTCCATTCTCAAAATACTGTAGCTCTTAATTTTCCAAAACTATGTTTTTACAAGGAGTTATCCGAAAAATTGTTTCATTCATATCACTTTTATCGCCTATCGAATGGTTTACCTTCCAATGTGTTCTTTATTCGGCTGGCTGGTCTGTCTCCTCATTTTGCCAACTTTTTTAAACTCTATCACTTTTCTAAATAGTCTCCATTATTTAGGCAGTATCATTCGTTGTTGTTGAGAGGTATATCAAAAATTAGATTTCACGTGTTATATGACTGATAATCTAATCAGTAACCAAAACGCAGGAAACGAAAAAAGAAGTAAACAAATACCCATGAGTGATAATAACATAAACGAGTAAGTAATGCGTAATTTTATCCAAGCTATTGTAGTTAACCTTTTTCACATTATTTCTAGAATGTTCCCATCTACCAGAGAGGCTCTTGAGACTATTTTCTCGCAAGCTTCCAACAAAGACATTGAGAAGTACGAGGAACAACTTAGTAAAGTGGACGACTTTGATCCCGTTCTTATTATCGTAGCAAATCAAAATTGGATTAATCAAAACACGTATGCGAATTATCAAGCGGTGATGTACTCATTTGCGACAAATAATCTCCAAAATAATAGACGCAGAGATGAAGGTTCGCTCAGTATTTTCCACTTCCCAAATTTGACTGAACTCTACGCCGTGCGCGGAAACATTCGCACGCAATACCCCAATGCATTCTTCGACCGCAACGCTCAACCTCAACAGGAGCCAATCGGTACCGCTTGGATTCTTACTAATGTGGCAGTGCGCAAGAGCGATTATGCGGAGGATGATTCGTTTTTTGTTATTTAATGATTAACGTAAATTTTCCTAAGTTAATGGTTCACTTTCTTTTTTTTCGGAGTGTTTATTAGATTTTTATTGTTATACTGCAAAAATATATACAAAGTTGTATTAGATTAAATTTTTATGAGCAAGTTTTTTTAATGAATTAGATAATCTAAAGTTATAAAAATAAAAGCTTGAGAAAAAAATGCTAGAAAGTAAGCAAAATTTATGATGCTATCAAAGAGGCAAGTTTTTTTTATTATAAACCAGATATATTTTTCATTGATATGCGAACACAAAATTTATATTTGAGAACTTATATACACATAAAACACACACACATATTCTTTTCATAAAATAATATGAGAAAGGGCCGGCCGGTTAAGAAAAAATGAAAGTAAAAAAGAATAGAGTAGCAGGTTGTTTCAAGGGAGGAAAGACATAAAAGAACACGCCTGCTTATTAAGCCTCATAGGAGGACTTTCACGTGATTGGCCGATCAATTTCAAATGAATTTAAGTACTTTTTAAGATTTCGATAATCTACATGATAAAAAAATAAAAAATTTTATTTCTAGCTCCGAATTAACTCTAAAATTCACTGTGCAAAAGAATCTCAAAGAATCTGAAATCTAGAGGTACTTTACTTAAGAAGCAAATATGCCTATTACTGAACCATGTATAATCACTATATGCTGGCAAAACTCAACTAACTGGAAAAGGGTGACTGAATATGTTCTTGCTAAAGGTCAAGCTAACAATACTTTACCCAATTATGTACAAGAAAATGATGTAATTTGCTTGGATTGTTATAATGGAATTGTAATAAGAAGCTCGCTTGAATTTCAACAACATGCTCAAAATAATGAATTTCAACACACTCAAACCAGAAACTGTAAATTTAATGAGACTGAAAGTACTAATGACATCTTATCCTTTTCTAAAGCAATAGAACTGCTAACAAACATTTTATATGCTTGAGAGAATAAAGAAAAACAGCCAACTTTGTATTCTTTTGATGAATTTCAAAGAATTATAAAAGTAAAGGATATAAGGTTAAAATTTTTTTAATAAATTATATTTCTCATCTAACCCATCTTCTAAAAATAAAGATTTACAGGCTCGAATAAAAAAGCAATTATTATTTGTATACTATTTCCTTTGTAAAATCTGAAATAAGTTTGTTAATGATGCAAAGAAGGATTTAACCATATATTTAGATTCTACAGGTGCTTCTAACACTTCTATAGATACTCTTGCTGATCTAGGTGTAACTACATCATTGTGCACGATCTCCCAATATAAGACAACTGTATTTGAAGAATATGTTACATTGATTAATTCTACACTTGCAGAATACATAGAGAATACAATGGTATTAAATATAGATAATTACCACAGCATTCATACAAAAACGGATGCCAAATACAACTACTACATCAACTGCTATGCATCTAGCAACATTCTTAATGAATCCAATTATGACGTAGCCTGCAATTCTGAAAACAAAAATCCATAATTCCATATTAGTTGATGCCAAATTGATTAAAACCAATATCAGAAATAGGTTCATAAAGCTTTATGGCCTTTCGTATAACTAACGTTGAGGATTTCATATAGTTGATGATGATACAAGATTGAAAGAGTTAACTGTACATAGTTATGATGTTAGATTGAAGGAGAAATGAAATATTCGTTCAATGAAGGATGTCATTCTTATAGATTTACAAAAGAATGATCTTTATTCTTTAAATGCATACATCAAAGCTATTAATACCATTGTGAATGTTCCATCTACTTATGTTATCATGATTCATTGAATATTACTAATAACATCTTATCCTTTCTTCCTATTATAGGTCTTCTGCATATTTCATTGAATAGCTGAGAATTAATTTTCTTTCAATACCAGCCTTTTTTTAGCCATGTATATGTATATCTTTAGAGGAAATAAATCTCTCACACAAAAGCCTAAGTCATGACAGATCAATCTTCTTTTAGAGGTATCTTGCAGTGCTTAATAAGAAATTTCTATTGTCATCCAAACAAAATTCAGACCTTTATGCAAGGATGTTAAATATTTTGCACTCAAAGACCTTCTTAACAATACAATTCCACTTGTATTAGATATTTATGCTGTATTTTTCTGCTTAGATGATTTTAATGCTTATTTAGAAGCTTGCTTTCGTATCTGGACAATATTCTTTAAATTCTATCGCAAAAACTATACCATAGTCTTATTAATGTTTCTTTTCGAAATTTTTTTACTAGAAATTAAACAATCATTTGATACTAGAAGAAATTAAAGCTGAACTTCCAAAGTTCTTAGATTCAACTGTAGAAATCTTTTACAGCTTTCTACGTAGAAATACGTAAAGCATACAGAAACACAACAAATCATCAAATATAGACATTACATTAATTAGTTACGTTTAGATGATAATGGATTTTAGAGAAAATTTTACACACACATCTACATAGGTGGCTTATAAATATGCTGCTTGAAATATAAAATTTTTGACAAAAAAAGTGCTTGTTTTCTTTTGCAATATTTTTCAGAAATTTTTACGCACTTATTTCACCACAAATTACTAATATTATTTCTATTGCAGGTAAATCCACCTCTAAAGAAGAAAGGAAAGAAGAAAGGCGAAGAAGATTCTGATATTGTTTCATTAGTTGCAATGAAAATACCAAAATCACAATTACATCATTTTCCTTTGAGTTTTAGCAGCTATATTAATTATGTTACTGTGATGCGTCTGACTATTTGTTTTTCTCATCTATTAATATGAATGATCCTATTGAAGTTCTAACTTGTGGTCACATATATTATAAGTCCTGTTATAGCAATATTGAATTTAAATGCTTGCATTGTTTATCATTCTTATGTAATGGTGTTGATGAACATGTTCAATTCTTATTGAAATCTTTGAAAAGTTTAGATAAAAAACGGAAATAGGATGTAAAACTAGAGAATAATATTTTTGATAATGATGATGATGGTATAAGCGAACTGATAAACTATGTAACATTTGCATTAAGAGAAGTATTACAAAAATTTCAATAGCAATAAAAAATTATATATATATATTTTTTTTAAATATTATATAAAATCAATAAATTAAACTAGTTTATTTGATTTTAAAGACTAAAGTTTAATATACATATAAATATTAATAGTTAAATAAATAAATAAAATAGTTTATTTTATTAAAGTCACGTGATATGTATTAATATTTACAATACTAATTACAAAATTTGTATAACATTATTAGTCAATCATATGAAATCCTCCTATAAAATATAATGCCAGTTCCTTTTCTGCTACTCTTGATTATCTAAGTTATTATCTAAACTTAAAATTTCTTTACTATCTAATCATCGCATAATATTACTATATTAAATTTTAGATCCCTCTATTATAATAAAAATTTTTTACAGTTTTTTTTCCAATTTTTTTTTCAGTAAGTTAACGAATTTCACATCTAACTATTTCAAATATATAATCTAAAGTTTCCCCTTCTTCCTTATTTGAATTAAAAATTTGCTTAAAATGGTTCTTATCTTTTCAAGAAACAAATCAGATAATTAACTAGAAGAACTTTTGCTACTAGAGAAATAATTAGTCACACTCAGTTGATCAAAATCAACCTGAAGCCTTTGGACAATTGCATAACATTAGATTATTTCATTTCAAAGAGCTTCAATAAAGATCTTGATCAAAATGAATTCAGATAAAATGTTGCTAAAATCAGTATAACAGGCTTCTTCAATATTATCAAGTCTTATGATCATATTATTGACCATTAATAAAATTTTTTGCATCTCAGAGGCATAATCAGCATTACGTAAATGGAATTTTTGATTTTTTCAGTAAATTTATTATTAAAATCATTATTGATTCTGCTGAGTTTGCTGTAAAAGTAGAAATAACTTCAGAAAGACGTGCAAAAAGTTCATTGAAAATTTTAGTATTAATTTTTGTGATAAATTTATTGAAGATGTTTTCGATTTTTAGTGTATTATTTTTTATATCAAGATTATTGATGATTCTAGTGACATATACAGAAAATTTATCAGAAATTTTTTGTTTGAGATTTGATCACATGGTAACAATTCTTATAATTAAAATTGGATCAATAAACTAAAAAATAGTGGTTAAGATCAAAAAAAGTATGACTCCTAAAGTGTTAAGTAATGTCAAACTAGATATAATTAGATAAATTAATATATAATAATTTTATTAAGAGATTATTAATGAATCAAGTTTTTTAAATATTATAATTGATTTTTTTCTGATTTAATAAAAATTACATTACTTTATTATGTGAATTTGTCATAATTATATTTTTTACAATCATATTTTTTTCAGCTAAAATAATAATAATAGCTTAGATTCTATCTAATAATAATAAATATCTCTCCTCTGAATTGCAATAATACTTAAAAGAAAATCTGAAGAATTACAGTTTTATAATAACTTAATTTGATACTAATAGAGCAATGTTGTATTTCAAAATTTTCCATTTATTTTTAAGATCTCTTGCAAAACAGAAAATCGCATGTGATGTTGAGTTCACAACCCTATTTCAATTGTAATTATAAAAATTAGAATATTTGTTTATCATTAATCGAGATCTGTAGATGACAAATCGCATATGTATCAGTAATTCTAATTAAAAATAGATTAATGTTTGAGTAATCTATATACGTAATTTGAATATACTAACATCAGTAGAATAATAAAAAATTACTGTTTATTTGAGAATCTGTAAATCATTGATTCTAATAAGCTCTATTTTCATTTTTGAATTTCTTTAATAATGCCCTGTCTTACGATCTGCAATGTAAATCAGAATATGTTTTTTTATTAGTAATTCAGAACTGCGTAATGAGTGAAATAGAACATACTAAAACTCTGAAAAAAGTTTATCAGTATAGCAACACAAAAATAATTCTCTTAGCTAAGTTTATTAATAGATTGGATTCTTTAAAATAATAATTACAGATGCTGGTAACATACTATTACGTATAGTATATTCTACAGATATAATTTATATAAATCAGTAAGGCAGTGACGTCTTACTGCAAGATATTAAAAGAAAATATAGATGACGTTTATATGCTATTTAAGCCACCCACGTGACTTTTGGAGAACATCTTTTAGAAAATTATTATTTGTTCACGCATTTTAGAACCCTTATTTTTGACATCATTTAGCAAATTTATCACTCTTTTCATAGTTGTCACTTGGACTGGGTCTTATTATCTAATAGTATGGATTGAATATGTCTTTTATTCTTTTTATGAACTTTACTCTTGATTTTAAAAGAGTAAATTCAATATTATAGAACATGTGACATAATTACTGCAAAGAAGAATAAATGACGTTTTACTGTACATGATATCTAAGCTATCTATATGATTCAAAAAATAATGTGAATATATATGCTAATCCTATGTTATACAGCCTCTATTTTTGGCAAGAAATTTACTAGATATCTTCTGCATATTTCAGGTGATCAGGTTTGAATAAGCCACTCACATAATGAAATTTATGCTTTTATAGATATTATTAGAGTTTTACAATTAAGAGAATCTTTACATTTGATATGATAAATTCATTTTCCGCAATAGTCACCATCATTTTATTTACCTTTTATATCCTTCTATAGGCTTTCTTCTATATAATCTTCATTACATAAAGAATAAAGCATTGAACTATTAAAATTGAATCACTTGCAATGTTCACTACTATCGCTTAAATATGGAAACTGAGACTGCTTTAACACCAGCCCAATGATATATTTTCACTTCTCTTCTAGATCATCAGATAAAATAGAAATTGAAAGTCTGAATTTATTAGATGATATTACCTAAGGTATAGGTGATGTACTCACAGTTACTGGATTAATTCTAGAGGAATCATCTGAAGAATTGCTATTAAGGTGCTTTGCAAAGATATAGGCTAATGGGATAGGTATAGTTAATATTAGCTTTACTAACAAAAAGACCTCCAATACATTATTCTGATTATCATTTTGTTCTTCATTCTCAGCTTTATCAGTGAATTTTATATTAGATTTTTCAGTAAAATGATCTATAATTATTTGAATCTGAAGATCAGTAAATTTTGAAATAATATCTGCACTATATATTTTTATGTATTGAAGCTTGTCTATTCCTATTTTTTCAAATAAATCATTAATTCTCAAAGCTTTTTGTGTTTGCTTACATAAAGTTTTGATTTAGTATCAGAAAGTTATTTGATAATAAAATCATATACCTAATTTTTAGCTTTCTTTTTTCCAATTTTATTGCTGATCATAAAATTTTTATACATTCTCTTGAATTCTCTAGCATAGAAATATTAGCACAAAATTTCTTCTCTATTAGCTTTAATTGTTTTCTTTTCTATATTACACGCAATTTTATATAAACTAATAATATCAGAGTGGACCAATCGTTCTTCATTTCTTTTTGCAAA